CAGGAGAGAGAGTCTAACCTACAGGAGAGAGAGTCTAACCTATAGGAGAGAGAGTCTAACCTATAGGAGAGAGAGTCTAACCTACAGGAGAGAGTCTAACCTATAGGAGAGACAGTCTAACCTACAGGAGAGAGAGTCTAACTTTCATTTCAAAGTTTATATTTTGTTTGTTTTGCTCTCTCGTTTTTTTTACCTCAGTTTTATTAGGGAAAACAGTAACATTGGATATAAAAGACTAGAATTATAAATTATATGCTCTTTTTTTTACATCTAAAGTTAACATCTATCAACACGAACAAACGGCTTTTGCAGCCCTCATCTGAGGACCATTTGAGGGTGCTTTGCTTTACACCTGACCATGATTTTAAGCCACCAGTTGCCATCCAAACATTAGCAAAAGTGCTGGCCTAGAAACCAAGGCTGGTTGGCTGTGACAAGTAGGCTTCTTGTTGTCCCTGCAATGGTCGTTTTTATTTTCGAGGAGCCTCGCTGATTATGTACATTGTATGGGTTGTGATTTCCTCGTTCCAGAGCCAAATGTCTGGGGTTCAACATAGCACAGTTCAGGTACATGCACAAACATACACTGTATAGTGTACATGTATGTGTAACATCACAAGTTAGAATTGAATCAGATGTGTGGATTCATAATCACAATGTGTGTGACTTTCAATTCACCCTCTCTGGAGATGTCCACAGCTGTGAATTGATGTGCACCTACAGGTTGGGATTTCATTTCTGACTGTTCTGGCAACAAAAAGAGCAATGGCACATTTAGGTATTGGCTTCATAATATGCTGGGTAATCGTCAGAGAATCATCTGGAAATCTCGGTGAAGGAGTTGTGACATCGAAACCCTGTGGGAAGAACAAAGAGAATGATAATGGATGTTTGAACAATTCACTTGGCATTGCAATAGAAAATGCCACATCTTGCAGCTTGAACTTGCACCTGCAGTCGTGACTAGTCTGGGGGTCAGAGTTCACGGTAAGATTTGAATCTGGGGGAGTTGTTGCGCGATAACTCCCTTTCTTGCAATTGGGCCAGCTGGATAGTCCATGAATGGGATTTGATTAGATGACACGGAATACAAGTGTTTGCAGATTTTGCTGCCCGGGGCCAGGATATTTGTGGCCTGTGCAGCATTGACTACAGCCTTGGCTTGCAGCATGAACCGGGTAAATAAGGACTTGGCCATTTTGTTATCGATTTGGGGCAGGACATGGGATCTGGTGATAATAAAACCTCATTTTTTTTATCATTGCTCTGTTGAATGCAAAAAAAGGGCCAAGAGAAAAAAAGGGAGGTTGCAGAGACATATCTGGCCCTAACTTCTTCTCTCAAAATGGAAAATTTCATGACATATTTGATTTCCTGTCAAGCACAATTGAAGATTGAGATAGCATGCATCATTTCTCTAGTTGTGCTGTAGGAATTTTGCCGGATTGTGTGTAAAAGTGCAGATATTTGTCTGTGTCTCAAAGCAAAATTGTCAGGAGGTAAAAAGCATTTTCATGTAATGTCATCAAGCTGTCCAGCCGTCCTCAAAAGATATACAAGAATTACCGGTAGGATGACTGGCGGGAACTGTTTACGGGAACTTCATGATCAGTCGGACAATAAAGAGTTGGAAATGAGATTTACAGGTACACCGCGGTACAACTTGCAGAGGAACTGGCTGGCAGTTGACCTGCTGAGCTGTTTAGTCCCCCGTGATGCCAGTGATTCAGTTGTCTTTTGGGGCAGTGTGTCACTCAGAAGTCCAGTGTTTGTAGATTTGAAGAAAAAAAAAAGTGCGTGTACATATAACTTTAAACCCTAAGGCTTTAAATCTAGTTACCCTTTGGAATTTGTTACACGTGGTGTCAGTCTTGCCGTTTGTCCTGTCTGCAGTTCAGTGTAGCAGGTCATAGTCACTGACCACACTGACTGGATTCACCATAGTATTATTCATAACCAAATTGAAACGTGTTTTGACTCTGCCGATAGATAAAGTCGGGGTAGTTCTGGCCTGGGCTTTTTTCTTTCTTTTTTTCTTTCTTTTTTTTGAGAAACTGGTTACACTCAGTGCGGAATGAACACTGTTTTATGTCGTCAATGATACTCTTGCAATAACAAACCTGATACTCCAACATACATTTTCTGCTCCTAAAGAGAGTCTAGGGGTGGTCCATTATCGGTAGGGTCAATACCCAGCTAAAATACAGCTTCCTGCCATAGATCAGGCATGGATCATACCCCACTGGATGTGTGATCGCTTCCTTGTCCTGCTTTTTAGAATGAACTTGGAATTTTTTTTCCCCCAGCACTCTCATTGCCTTTAATCATGTCCCTCTGTTGCAGGGAGTGTAACAGCCTGTAACGCAAGTCGTAAATCTAATTTTTCTATCCAGCCAGATCTCCACCCCTATTTGTGAGCAGTGGTGCCTTCCGCCTCTGTCATCTCCTCATCCGACCCAACTGGGCCCCCCCACTCCTTTTTTTACCAGTTATGAAATGGAGGGAGAATTTGTGGTTTGGGGTATTATATTAGCAGGGAGGGACAAGAAATCCGGGCGGGCTTGCCTTGCTCAGATGGCTTGTAAAAAGAGGGAAAGGAAGGGGGGGCAGTGGGAGCCGACAGGCTGAGACTGAAATGGAATCACTTCAAAACCCAGACTGATGTTTTGGCGTCTGGGCTCAGTACGTCTTTGACTCGGCAACAAATATTGATTTCTTCATGAAAGCACTCTGTATTTGTTTGCCAACTTGTGTGTATCATACAGTTACTCATCATACAGCATCTTATGGGGGGCACCAGCTTTCAGTGGTGTGGGGTTTTGGGGGGCAAGTTTTTTGTTAGCCTTGTTCAATATCTGTTCATCCCGGTTTTTTTTTTTTTTTTTTTAAGGGGGGGAGGCACCTGGGGGAGGAGGCACCTGGGAGGGGCACCGGAACCACATGTACAGGTAACTTTTGATGTACATGAACATGAATTTCCTTTGATGTTTTTTCTCAGTGGAATTTCTATTTGCATGGAAGTTGAAACTAGATAGAAGAGTTTCATGTACACCATGAGATCCCATGAGAACTCTTACATGTACAATGTACATGCCTGCATGCATAGGCTCACCGCAAAATAAATGTGTCCTTTGTGAAGAGCCGTGACACCAGTTTTGCTCTTTGGGACAGTTGGAAACCCAGGAAAGGGGAACTTCACACATTCATGCACCCATCTATGAACCAGTAATCAACTTCAGGCACAGATGCAGTGAAGTCCTTTTTCCCCGCTCATTGTTGCATGCATGGAGTGTTCACAATTCCTTCGTGCCGATAGTCAGGGTTGAAGTGCTACACGCAGGGCGTCCGGGGGGTCCATTGTTCAACTAGAACAGAGCCCACAAGCCAGCAGACAATCTGTAAACATGCAGGTTGCAATTCATCAAGTTTAATCTTGTGTATAATATGTTAACGATCCAGCCTAATCAGCAGCGGGGTTCTGGGCCATGCAAAGGGAGGAAAAGGAGTAAAGTTCAAGGAGACGACAAACACTGCTACAACCACCTATCATCGGACATGATAAATGAACAGCTTTAAGTAGTCGCTCAATTACTCTATAAAACACAGTCTTTTGCGCATTTGTAATAATGAATTTTATTTGCTGTGGGCCCTGTAAATAAAACCTGCTTATCAGTGCATTGTGATTTTTCTTCATGAACAAGGTTGGCGCAGTGTTGGTAGTTGTTTCTTTATCACTGGCTGGTGCGGTACCCCACCCATCGGCTCCCAGGCGGTTGAAGAATCCATGTATGAATCAGAGCTGAAGAGTCTGGGGGCCAGAGTCAGGGATTCCATTAATTCCCCGGTGTGAAATCAAATAGTTGTGTTGGCAGGAAGTAGGGTCATGTCCCATTAAATGGGTATCTGAACATCTGCAGTCCAGAGGCGGTACTGCGTGAGGAAATTTAAGACCACTTCCTAGCTCCCCATGCACCAGGAATTGAAGGACACCAACTTCCCTTCCAACCAGAAGTAAAACTTGTAATTCCCTACTTCAAAATCTATGGAGTTGTGTTGCTAATTTTTTTTGCCCCTTTTTCTTATTTTTATAATTGCAGCCCTCCAAATCAAAAGCCTCATTTCTTAATTTTTTTTTTCCTCAGCAAATCTGCAAAGTAAAGATTACAGTAATCTGGAATACCCAGTCAACTCGGAAATCAAGATTTTTATCCCTCACGGTTCCTGAAAGCACGGGGCTGAGGTCAAATTGCCAAAAAGTATGTGAGTCAACCACCTGCACCATGGCAGACAAATAAGTTTCACCAGAATAGTGGCCATGGTTTCTTCATAAAATGGGCGGGGGCAGGGATTTGGTTTGAAGTAGCGAGAGTTAAAAAGTAGATTTTATGGTATGCTGGGAAAGAGTCTTGGCACCTCCATGAAGCAAATCACTTGGAGAGTGCCCTGCTTATCATGCATGAAGCAAGCTAAGTTGTGGAAGCCAGCTTAAATTCTGAAAATTGTTAAGTGACCGAACTTTGAAGCACGTGCACTCTGCATGCACCAGCAACTTCAGCTTCATAGCCTTATTGAACAGTGCTCAAGAATTCCAGTTGTAATAGAATTTTATTGTTATTGTTCCGTGTGCAGACCTACCTCTAATAATTAAAGTTTCTACCTTGGAAGCAAGTGATTCATATGGCATTTTCCATGGGGGGGGGAGCAGTGGACCAGTTCGCTTATTTTTTTTCTCCCTTTCAGGTTACAAGGCCTCCCTTGGCCTGTAATTGTAGCCAGCCCAACCCCCTTCAAATAATTGCAAACACTGATCCCTTCTGGCGGCCCTCGGGTTTGTTGTCACAGAGCTGGCACTTGTGGGAATATCTGCTGGATGGCAGCGTTAGTTGGGGTTGAAGGGGGAAAGGTCATTTTGCCACAGTGGAAGCCATTTACAGATATTGCTTGATCCAAATGGCACTTCTTTTCCTCTCTTGTTGGCCGGCCGAGTTGTGGTTTGGGATATTTCTCAAGTCAGCATCATTTTTTTTGTTTGTTCACAAGCGTGTTGCCTGGACAAGAGAGGGCGCTATTTCAGTCGTATGTGCAAGGAAAAATGGGCCATGTCCTATAGTGGCTGCAGCTGGGAGTAATACTAATAGGCTGTGTCCGAATTTCTTAGCTGTAGCTTGAAATTGTGCACTAGTATGTGGTAGTGACTGCAGCAAGTTCCAATTGTGTAATGTGAAGCCTGAGCTACAAAGGCATAGCTACTACAGTCCACAATCATGACATTCACAGGTTGTTTTCCACCTGTCGGTTAAAGTTCATAAATTAGGTTTGCATAGAGACTGGACACGACTCAGATTTTAAAAAGAATTAAATAAATAGGCTAGGCGGGGGGACTCCATGTTTAATGAATTCCATGCCTTGAAATTCAAAGTGGATTGAGGGGTCATAGTTTAAAGCATGGTACATGTACATGCACCTCATCTGCTTACACATCATCATGACTAATTCCTGTATGGCCAATGTCCATGGAATAGACATTAAGTGCTTTTAAATACAAATAATGTGCCGGCATATATTCCAGAAGTATGGTTCTTTAGTCGTCTGTTTTTCTGGTGAATTCATTCCCTCGCCCAGCAGGAAGGCGTGAAAAAAAAATTTCACCCAACTCAGTGAAACTGCTTGCTCAATTACACCCTTCCACCAAGCAGTAAACTTGTACTAGTATATTGGCAAGACATTAAAGTGCAACATGAAACAATCTCTAGGAAGTTTGTGAATGATTAATCAGTCCAAAGTGTTATGTCTGAGCCAGAGTTTAGGTGGATATTTAGATTTTCCCCCCAGATGTCGTGACATGGTTTGCTTCTAGTAGCATGGGGTTTTAAGAGTTTAAAATTAAATTTTTTCTTTTTTTTTTCGTGTTTTGTGTTTGTTTTTTATCTCAAATGCTTTGGGGTGTCACAAAGTTTCCTAAACAAACGCAACTCTGACGTGAATTGTGACAAGGAGTAGATGTGATTGAAATAAGTGTCTTTACTATGAAAATAAGAGATAAGTTAAATTGAAACTATATGCAATGTTTACAAAGTAAATGAAAGAAATTCAGAGAAAACTTTCCTCCAATTAAGGAACTCAATCAACTCGATGATTCGAACTGAATTGGATTGGATCTACAATCAGTGACTCAGCAATTCCAAACCAGGTGAATTTGGTTAAGCGATTAATTTAGCATAAAAAAAGAAAGAAATCGTAGTGGTACTAGTTAGATCAATAAATGGTAGCAAAAATAAAACAAATCAAAGTACAGCCAAATAAATTAATGTAACAAAATGCATGTACAAATCATTAACTCAATCATATTAAGTTGTCAAGAAAGCAAAAGGAAATACTTAGGACGTGCCACTTTCTTGTTAAATCAAAATTAAGTCAAAGCAACTCCTGTTAATACAAAGTAGCGGCATTGAACCAAACACAATGGCTTTGCTGTTGGTGCAAGTTTCCTCGCAAGCATGGGTGAGGGTCTCAGTATGGACTGTCCTCCCTGGCAAAGTCTGGGACTTGTGTTTGACAGCAGCCAATGAGATTACTAGTACATCCAAGGAATGAAGCAAAAGGTAGGTTTCCATCAAGGGAAAATTGTCATCTAAGGATTTGAGATAACCGAAAAAGACTACAAATCTCTGATCCACCGGACCACAAAAGTAAACTCTCAATTTAGCGTTAGTGTCAAACACAAGTTTCAGAAATTGACATCTGGACTTTTAAGGCCATTTCACAAATATCAAATTGGAACATTACCGAATAGAAAAATATCACGATGAACTCGTTCAGTTTCAAGCAGTTACCAAGAAAACTATGCTGATGTGAAACTTGCGGCAGTTCGGGGAGGAGAACACTTAGGCTTCAGGCTGACACTGTGCGAAGACCAGTCAATTCTTGGAGTGTTGCTATAAGTATACACTTCTTGGCTCTTAGCCTAAGTTTTTGGTTGACCAGCCCTGTACCAGCGGCGGCTGCGTTCCACTCACCTGTCGGTTCAGTAGGCAACAACCCAACAGCACTTGACAAATCGAACACTCTCAGGCATCTCTCTCCACCAAACGCCGAAATCAATATAACACACTCAGCACTACAGGTCAGCTATCTATGTCTCTCCAAAAAAATGTACTTTCACCTGGATACTAAACATTGAATGTAGGTGCAGCAAAACAAATTAACATAAGAAGAGATAACGAATTATCACAACCATTGTGTGCAAGGAGCATCTTCCTACTTCAGCGTTGAATAAATGAAACAAAACTTGTTACGTAAACAAAACGAAGTGTGATAAACAACGTCAGCTCGAGGTGAGTAGTGAAAACAAGCACAAAACAAAAGTAGATGAAATACAAAAACACGGCTGAGAGAAATCTTTAAGCGTAGAGAAAAAAGAAAAATTTGACATGTTTACCGTGCACTTATTTTTTTTTAACATGCGATCAGATTTCCTCCTAACTTACCGTACATCTCTCATAAGTAATAAAAACTTTCTCTCTCCCTCCTGGTAAACATTACACATTCGTGTAAAGGGAAAATTCCTACAGATTTCACTCCCTAGCGACACTGACCAGGATTTTTCCCCCTTCTCTTCACTCTGTGTCATTCACAGGTCACCACCCACTCCGTCTCCGTGGACACCTCTGATATGTCCACTCTGACCGACCCTGACTGTCTTGGGCCCTGTGAGCCAGGCACCTCGGTCAACCTGGAGGGCATTGTGTGGCATGAGACTGACCAGGGTAAGGGTGCTACCAGACATCAACATTCAACACTGCCTGGCACTAGTTAAATCATGCCGGAGTACATGAAGGTCTTGCTTATGAAGTCCACTTGAAAAGGCTGGTCAATTCTTTCAGAATTTGGAGGCTTTGTTTCAGGGTTTTTTTTTTTTGTTATTTTTTTTATTCCTGTCATTAGACTATTGAATGGCAAAACTTGGTGTTATTTCTGAAATGTCATCAGTTGTTTTGCACCACTGGGACTTCTTCCTCGCAGTTGGATTGGTTAGGATCATGCATTAAGAGCACATGCAACCCACAATGCTTGTTCTGGTGTGGGTTATTAAAATGAACTGGGCCAAATCTATCAGCAGGTGTCTAGCTGCAAATCCTCAAATGGACCAAAGACACCAGCCGTAACGGTAACCGGGCATTCTGGAGTCAAGCCAGCAACCACTCATGTACATATATACACATACTGTACAGTTTATGATGTCATGTAAACTCTGCAGGTGTACTTGTCGTGAATGTCACATGGAGGAACAAGACGTATGTGGGCACTCTCCTTGACTGCACCAAACATGACTGGGCACCACCCAGGTAAACAGAATCTTCACTTTACAGTCAAGCATGCTATTTTAGATGTCTTTTTTAAAACACCAAAGGGTATTTCATTACTAATTAATAACAAGAGTGTACACCAAAATCTGACATTGATGTGCTCTTTATTCTTTTGAAGATTCACCACGTGAGCTGTAAAAAAGCATTAATTTTTGTTGTGCTAGGGAAAATGGCTCTTCATTTTTTCATGAATATGTGATTGATTTGTAGTATATCTTAGTTTATTTACTTTCTGTCAAATGTTTCATAAATTGAGTGAATGAAGTAACACATGGGGTGCCTGAAATAGTAATTTGACAAATAACAGAACAAATCCAGAGGTACTTTGCTCAAGGTGTAAGTTTAATTCTATTTTATTCTGTTTCCTGAGAAAAAAAGTTCTTTAGAGTATAATGAAGAATCTTTTGCACTTCTATTCCATCTTTGTTTTGCAGGTTTTGTGACTCCCCAACCAGTGACATGGAGACCAGGAATGCTAAGGCGCCGGGCCGGCCCAAGCGAGGGCGCAACAGCTCTTCCACAACGAACAACAACAATGACCTCAGTAACTTCACCGAGACCCGCTCTTCCATTCACAGCAAGCTGCGCAACTCAACCACCGTCAAAAGCCGGAGGGGTAGCAGCGCATCCAACGGTAGCCGCACGCCACCCAATGCCATTGACCGTAGCACACAGGGCAAGCGTAAGGCCCGCCCCACTGACATTGACCTGAGCTCAGGTGAGGACAACCACAAGGCAGCAACATCCAAGAGGCTGAAGACGGCCAGGAACACGCCCACTCCCAACTCCTCAGAGGGCGCCACCTCACCCGTGTTCATCGAGTGCCCTGAACCCAACTGCAATAAGAAGTACAAACACATCAACGGGTTGAGGTACCACCAGACCCATGCTCACCAAGATCTCCCCAGACAGGAGCTGGTCACCCCCGATGAAGCAGATCAGCCAGAAACCCCCAAATCCGTGGCAGAGACTGCCTCTGATTTTAACCCCTCCAAGAGGGACAAAACTTCTGTTGCCTCTGAAGGCCCCACACCAGGGTCCGTCCCCAATGTTTCCAGTCCAGCAAAAGCGGCCAGCAACACCACCGAGAAAACAAAAGACACCAAAACTGCTCCCGCAGTGACTTCCGAGAAGCGGGAAGACAGTGTAGCACCTTGTTTATCAAGTGGAAGCACGTCAACTGATGTGTGCAAAGAGCCAAACACTAAGGAAGTGACTAAGGGCAGAGTAGATGTAGCCCGCAGTCCCAAAGGGGGGCAGCATAAAAGCCTGATAGATAAAACCAGTCCTAGCAAGATTCTCCATGGTGCCAACAAAGCCAAAGATGCAGCCAATAATGTCAAGGCAAAGCCTGACTCTCACTTGAATGACAAGTCCATCAAGCATAAGAAACCTGTGACGAGTCAGGGTGCAAGCAGCAGCAGCAGTCAAAAAGATATGTCCGTCTTTGATTTCAACTCGACAGCAGAGGCTGATGACAACTCCAAAAAGACTAACAGTTGCTCTGGAGAGAAGCAGGTAGGTGTGAGTGTCATCCGTTCCAACCCAGAGCAAATAGTCATCAAGACGGAGCCTCTTAGTCCATCCCCAACATGTGTCCCGAGAACTCCCGATACGCCAAAGATGTCATCAGCCCCCAGCAGCGAGGACCCACAGAAACACTCAAAGAGCAAAGACAAGGAAAAAGCAAAGGGAGGCTCAGAGAAGAAGAAACCAAAACAGGACAAAATCGTTCAGAAGCCCAAGTCTGCTCGACCGATTGCCCCAGCGCCGCCCCATCCCCAACCTCCACAACTCATTGCAATACCAACTATTGTCACCACAAGCAGTGGACCAACACCAACACCTCTTACCATACCAGCAGTGACGACAAAACCCAGCGGGTCCTCACCCACCACAGGAGCTACGTTAAAACCCATTCAGCCAAAGCCTACTGTGGCAGATAACCCCGTCATGAACACTTCTCTTGCAACTCTCAAAGAAAAGAAGTCCAAACCCAAGAAGAAGTCTAAGACCGACAAAGAGAAGCATGCCACTGGTGGTTCCCCAAAGGACGGAGCCAAGGGGGATTCCAAGGACATCAATAAACAGAAGGAGGGCAAGCCGAAGGAGAGTCCCCAGACTGCCAGACCAGATCAACACCCTGAACCGTCACCAGCAGCTGCATTAGAGAATAACATTCTCAAGCAGGCACTGACTGCATCAGGCATTGGTCCCGAGGATGCTGGTAGGAACTCCCCGTACGTTCCAGGGAGTAATGCTGAGAGCCAGACCAAAGTAGCCGAGCAAATTCCAAAGGATGCCCCAAAGGAGCTACCATCACTAATCCCCAGCAGGCCGATGGTGAACCCGAGCATGCCCGAAATGCCAAAGCTCATCCCCACCAGTAGTATACTGAACTCAGTGAATCGGCAACCACATCATGGACCAATGCAATCACAACAGCAGCAGCAGCAACAACCTCCACCTCCCCCACCGACCAAGCCGATCATTCCGTCTTCCCCAGAGACCATGAAAACAGAATACCAAGGACTCCAAGTGCCCTCTCAAGCAAAGCCCAATGCCTTGCCCTCTGAACACCCTGTGCCAACCCTAGTGGTCCCCCCGAGCACAGATGATGCAAGGACAGGTAGCCCAGCCTATTCTGATATATCAGATGCCAATGACGATGCTCCAGTAGATCCTGCCAAACCCAGGGAGGATAGAGATCCATATGCTTTTCATGACACTCCTGTAGGGAGATCTTCCCAGGGAAATAAGCAAGTCCCTGAAGACCTACGAAGAATTGAGAGAGTAGAGCCATTGAATGTGCCAATGTTTTCACCATTGACAGAGGTAGCCCGAGAGCGAGGCGTCAGCTCTGATTCTTTGACCAAGTCTTTGGAGCCCTTGCGGTCAACTCCCACCCAGCCCTTGAAACCCGAGTCGGGCAGGGAACTTAGCAAAGATGGACCCGAGCCCAAGAAGGCCAGGAAAGACGCCCCAAGCCCATCCGCTGAAACTGGCTACAGACCTCAGGCTCCACCTGGGGCTGTGTATGGTGGGCAGTATCCCTTCCTACCTGGCTATGTGACAATGGACCCGTCATATCATCGTCTTATGCCTGCTGATGCTAGGCAGCATCATGAGCAATACATCACAGAGCAGCGAAAACGAGCAGAGGCAGAAAGGCTAGAGAGGGAGAAACGAGATCAGGAGGCTGCTAAAGACAAAATTGTGGAGAGTTCAGAACTGAGAGATAGACCAATTCCCAAGATCAAAACAGAACCTGTTACCCCAACTAAAAGGGACTTGGCACCTGAGACAGGGAAGGGATTGAGACCAGACAAAGACCCTCAACATTTGAAGAGAAAAGGGGAACGTGAACTCCCCGAGACCATTCATGGTAAGCAGCTAGACTTTCACAAGTTGGGATCCAAGAGTCCAGATGTTGCTATCCCACTCGGATCCCAAAGAACCTCAGACGGATGTCGCAGCTTACAAGAACAGCAACGGGAGGAGATGAGGCTGTACTCTCTGTATGATCACAAACAGAGGGAGTTGCAGCGTCAGGAGGAAGAGCAACGAAAAACCAAACACGAGGATCGACGGAGATCTGAGTCTAGTGAATTGTGGAGGGAGAGTCAAAGAACATTGGAGGAGCGCCAGCAGGAGCAGGATCATGCCAGGAGAGTAAGCATCTCCCCAAGGCAAGACACACCTAAGGAGCAGAGCACTACCACCCCATCTTCCAAGTCAGCAAACGGCGACAAGAAACACAGAGACTCTCCCTTGCCAAACAAGAGTCAGTCCCCCCATGACAAGGGCCCACCCAGGGGACTGATTCCACCCTCCAGGCGAGTGCTGGACACATACCCAGCATACCTTCAGCCACCCTATGTGCAGTCGCCATTTGTGCCCATGCCCTTCGACCCAAACCATCCTGCTTACCAGGCAGTCAACCCCATGGTTGCCTATCCCTACATCCCTCATGATTTGCACTACCCACCACCACCAGGATCACGCGTTATCAGTCCCATGTGGAAGTCACCGGAGGAGCGGGGACGCTACGAAATGGACCGTGAACACTCGGGCGTGACCTCTCCCCATGGCTCTGGCAGCAAGGGTAGAGACTCCTCCCGCGAGCGACCACCAAAAGCCCTGGATGTCCTCCAGCAGCACGCCAACCAGTACCATAAGAATGAGCGGTCACGTTCGCCAGAGCCGGACAGGGAGAAGAGACGGTCGTCCTCTCCACATCGGCCAGCATCCCCTGCTGAGAGGAAAACACCAGTGACACCCACATCTCGAGAGGGTTCTCCGAGGTACGATGCAGCCAGAAGGCATGGTCCACCTCTTCCTTCATCTCATTTACTACATCAGCATATGCACACCCACCAGCACACACACCTAGGCATGGGCTACCCAGTCTTGCAGCCCTATGATCCTTACGGTAAGATTTTGTTGTGTGTTCCCTGTTCAGAACCTAAAACCTTTTTAACCACTACCA